CGGCCAGCGCGGCCCTCACGGCCCCGTCCCGCCCGCCCGGCCCCGCGCCCGCCATCGCCGCGCGCCCGCCGCTCCCGGCGTGCTCTGCGCGCGCACAGCGCGGGGGCGGGGCTTTTTAAAGGGTGGGCGGTGCCTCAGAGATGGGCCGGGCTACGTGGAGGCGGGGCTTATCGGGTGGGCGGGGCGTCCGGGCTGAGCGGGGACGGCCCTCCTGGCGTGACTGAGGGCGGGGCTTAGAGAGTGGGCGGGGTCTCAGGGGGTTAGGCGGGGCTGTCCCCTCGGCGCGCCCTGCGGGGGCGGGGCTCACGGGGTGGGCGGAGCCCCGCGGCTGAGAGGGACCGGGCCTCCCGGGTGGGCGGGGCTTATTGAGTTGGGCGGGGCTCTCCGGTGCGAGGGGGGCCGACCCTCTCGGCGCTCCCCGTGGGAGGGGCTTCGCGGGCGCGGAGCTTCCACGGCATCCGGGGCTGGGGGGGGCGGGAGGGGCTTCCAGATGAGAGCGAGTAGGAGTGGCTTGCAGCGGTGGGCGGAGCTTCCCGGCCGAGCGGGGCCGCCTCCCGCGGGCTCCCGGCATGCACTGCGCGGTCCGGTTAGAGGGCCTTTAGTGGTGGGCGTGGCCTCGCCCGGCCCCGCCCCAGCCCGTCCCACGTGTCCCCGCCCGGCCCCGAGACGCCCCGCAGCCCCTGGTGCTTTCCCGCTCTGAGGGCAGGGCCGGGGACAGTCACCCACGTGGTGCTGGGGACTGTGGGAGGGTCACAGTGGCTGCCTGTGCCGGGAGGGGGCCCAGGGGACATGGCTGTCCCAGGGGATATCCTGTCCTGCTGCCAGCCAGTCGGGTCCTGCGGAGCAGGGACCACGGCAGGGACCAGGGCTGAGAGGAATCGTGGCAGGAGTCATGGCAGGGGCCATGGCAGGCTGAGGCTACGACAGGGACAATAGCAGAGACAGTGCAGGAAGGGACAATGGCAGGGACAGTGGCAGAAAGGGACGGTGGCAGGGATCATGCAGAACGCAGCCGTGGGGATACCCCGTGGTGTCACCTCAGGTCCGGGTGGCCCTGGCAGGGCTGGGGGACACTGGCTGTGCCCAGCGTGGGCTAAGCACGCTTAGGAAGGGACATTCCCCCGAGATCCCTGTCCATGGGCCACCCAGCAGCAGGACTCTCTTGCCATGGCCCTGCCGGCGTGACCCCGCAGCACAGGATGGTCTGCACGGCCCCCCACTGCAGCATCTGCCCCCCAGGAGGAGCCGCAGGCCTGGGCTGAAGGCTTTATTGAAAAATCCCAAACACACGACGGGTCATTGTTATCATACAATGAAAAACCAAACCAACCCGCCCTGCACCGGGGGGGGGGCAGCCCCTGCCCCTGTCACCAGCACCGGGGACACCGCGGGGACCCCCGCCCGTGATACAAAAGGGACAATGGATTCGGCCGAGGGCGGTGCCACTGTCCCCACGTCCCCGCTGCCCCCACGCCCCCCGTGCGGCTCCCCGGCCCCGAGGCCTGAGGTAGTTGGGGCTGCAGGCGAGACCCCCCCCAAAAAAGCAGGGAGGGTGTTGGGGCTCCCCGTGTCCGGCAGGAACGGGATGGTTGGTATTGCATCCGAGGGGAGCCAGCGCGGGGTGGGATGGGGAGGCAGCGGGACCCCCGTGGGGAGCCCCCAGGTCCCCCCAGCAGGCTGGGGGTGGCAGCAGGGCTGGCTGGGGACGCGGGGACAGCGGGTCGCTGCTCGCTGGACGGCTGCGCTGGGCGGTGGCAGCTCCGAGGCCGCGGCGGTGGTGGCAGATCCCACTGCCCCGGGGGCTGGGGGATGTCACTGGGAAAGCACGCAGGGACAGCCCAGATGCTTCCCAAAGGGAGAAAGGCCAAATCCTGCCCCCAGCAGGGGAGGGACGCTCTGGTCCCAGCAGGAGCACCAGCAGGACCGCAGGGGACGGTGACATCTGGGGGGCCCGGAGGTGGCAACGCCCCCCTGCCCTCCAAGCCCCCTGCTCAAGGCACAAAGGTTCCCTGGCTAGTGCCCATCTCTGCCCACGGCCATGCTGGCACCAGTCCCCCCTGCACCCAAGAAGGTGGTGGTGACACCGGGATGGCACCAAAGCGAGCGGGGACAGGGAGCTGCTTGCTCTGGCTTTGGGGTGCTCTGGTTTTGGGGCACCCTGGCTGCTCCCTCAAACCCTCTGTGCTGCCCTAGAGCCACCCCCCGTCCCCAGGAGCTGGTGGCTTGTGCGGTGGCACCGTGGTGGCCCAACCCCGCGCCCAGCACCTTGCGGAGGGTTTATTGCTGGCATGAACACAGTGATCTGTCGGGGCAGGGCAGCCCAGCTCAGGGGGGCGCTGCGAGGGGCGTTTTGGGAACCTGGGATGTGGGGCAGGAGCTCATGGCAGCGTCCCTCCTGCTGCCGGCCCCTCTCCCGGCTGCTCCCGGCACTCTGGTGTCCCCAGACAGGGTATCCCACGGGAACGCCACCGCCCCACCCTGCAGTGGCCAAAGGCACTCGGTGCTCCCGCCGAGGGGGAGCACACCTAGCACCAAGCCCAGCAGCACCCGAAAAGCTGCCCCCCACCCGCTGGCACTCCCGGGGCCTTCAGCAGGCTCATCCCCGGGGCGGGGGGACGGTCACGCCGAGCCACGGGCTGGGTTAAGGCTGGAAAAGCAGCGAGAGGCGAAAGAAGCCCGAGCGCTCTCGCTCAGCCAGAGCCGGCTCTAAGAGTTCCCAGAATCTGTGCAAAAACAAAACTAAAGGGTTAAAGACCCCCGGAGACCCCTCCCACCCCCCAGCAGCTCTAATAAATACACGTGCACTTTGCAGAGCCCCCGGCCCCGGGGCCTCGCCGGGCGGCTCTCGGGGCTCCGGAGGCGGCTCCTGGGGGATGAAGGGGGCGTGTGCTTCGGGGAGGCTTCTGCACCGGATCCGTGGGGATCTTCCCAAAAGGCTGCATCGAGCGGGGTCCCTGCGAGGCCCCAGGTGTCCCCCGGGGGCTGCTGCTGCCGCTGGGGCTACTCTGCAGCTGGAGGGGGAAGAGAGGGTCAGGGGGTGCAGTGCCTCCCACTATCCCACTGTCCAATCCCTCCGGGACCAGCAGCACCCAAGCCCCCTGCCTAGGGGTGATGTGGATCCCACAAGTCGGAGTCTCCAGGGATTTGCCTGTGTGTGCCAACTACCCCTGGGTTTGTGGCAGCTGGAGTGAAAGCCATGCCCACCCACTGCCAGGACAGCAGGCAGGGCTTCTCCATCCTGCCCTGCTCCTTCCCAGAACAGTTTCCCAGCTGGAGCAGGACTGGCAGCACTCACCATCCTCCTCCCAGCCCTCGGCCACACCAGCCAGCTCGTAGTGCTTCTTGCGCAGCTCCCCCAGCTTCTGCCGCTCCTTCTGCAGCTGGTTCTCCAGCTCCAGCACCCGCACCTGGGGGACACCACCCAGGACATGCCCACCCAGCACCCTGGCACAGGGGTGGGCTGAGCACCCCCTTTTCACACCCGTTATCCCCCCAATATCGAGCCCAAAGACCACCGAGGTACATCCCACAGGTGCTCTGGTGACAAGCAGACCTGGGGAGGGCTGGGGTTCAGGTGGGTGCTGCCTGTGCAGGCAGGTGAAGGCAGAATGACCCATGTGGGCACCCTGGGAAGGGGAATTCCCCAGGGCTGCCCTGTGCCAGGCAGAGGTGGGTGCTGTGGGGAGGCCGTGGGCTGCTGTGCCATGATGGAACAGCGCTGGGGAGGGATGGAGAACCAACTGCATGTGGCTCCTGGGCAAACCCATCTGTGGCCTTCATACCTTGGGTTTCCCCCATGCTGGTGCTGCCAGGGCGCAGCTGGGCAGGGTGACCCTCCAGCTTGGTGCCCCCCCATCTCTCCCCCAGCCTGGGCAGCCCAAGTGAGACATCAGTGGGTGTGTTTCCCAAAATATGGGAACATCCTACCTGCGAGTCCATCTCCTGACGCTTGATCTGGGTGAGTGTCATGCTGGAGAAGTCCATGCTGTCTGTGGAGAAAGACACCACCAGCACCCCTCAAGCTCTACTCCCTGCTTGGACCCCCCAACAGCTCCCAGGATGCTGGCAGGGTCTGGCACCATGGGATCCACATGGCAGGGAGTGAGGGGCAGCTGTAGACAGGGCACAGCCAGCTGAGGGTGCTGAGTGCCAAGAGCAGAGGTTTTGGGGCAGGTCTGTGCTCCAAGCATTAGGATTGGAGGAAATGACCTCAAGTTGTGCCAGGAGACATTTAGGTTGGGTATTAGGGCAAATTTCTTCATTGAAAGAGTTGTCAGCCCTGGCACAGGCTGCCCAGGGAAGTGGTGGAGTCACCATCCCTGGAAGGATTTAAAAGCTGTGTAGATGTGGCACTTGGGGACATGGGTTCGTCATGGGCTTGGCTGTGGTGGGGGAGCGGTTGGACTCGATGGTCCTAGAGGGCTTTTCCAACCTAAGTGATTCCATGACTTTACAATCCCTGCAGCCCCACACTCACCTTTCTCCTCCACCTGTGACCTCCCAGCCTTGGTGGAGGCCACCACACCGGCTGTGGCCTGGTTGACTCCCCGGGAGGCTTGTTGGAGCTTGCAAAGGTTGGCACTGTCCTTGTCTGCCTTCACCTGCCGGGACAGCCAGGAGGGGTAACTTACACCCTACCAGCCCCATGATTTGGGGTGACCACAGGGTGCCCCAGGGTCACCCCAAACCTCCTACCTTGGAGGCTGCCACCAGCTGAGCGGTGCTGGCCGCGATCTCCCGGGAACAGACCATCAGCTCCTCGAATGTCCCCTTGCCTTGCACCACCAGGTCGGCAGCGTCACTGTGGGAGGGCAGAGAGGGGCTGGAGCATTGTCCTGCCACCCCTGTGTGCCCTCCCTGAGGGCACAGCAGGACTCTGGATCCTCTCTGCGCTCCGGTGACAGTGGCACTTACACCATGACAGTGGCACCCCAGCCCACGGCCTTGGAGGCGGAGATGAGACCCTCAGTCCAGCGGGAATTCTTGGCGTAGAACTCCTTGGGGGATGCTGCTCCCTGCCATGGGGAAAGGCACGGCTGGAGAAAGGGGACCCCCAGACCCCCATCTTGGTGGAAAGCAGGTCAGGGTGTCCTTTTGGATGCGTGTGGGAGCTGGGGAGACACCCAGCACGGGGGGCTGCATGGGAAGGGAGATCAAGGATCTCTGTGACACCCCGGGAATCAGAGCCAGGGTGAGACCCTGGGGCTGGGGCAGCAGCTCCTGGCAGCTGGTGGGGAAGCTCCAAGGGTTGGAGCAGCATGGGGCCAAGGGTTGGGGCAGCATGTTCCAGCAAGTGTGTGGTGGCCCCTGGCTGGCCAAGCACCTCTGATCTGCACCCCTGTACCAGCTCACCCGTCCACTCTCCACGATCTCTCTCTGGAGGTCCTTGGAGGCCAGGACCAGGACGTGGATGGCCTGCATGAGACCCGTGCAGGAGCCCAGGATCCTGTGAGACAAACCCCTCTGAGCCCTCTGCGGGGTGCCTGTGGCACCAGTCCCATCCTGCCTGCCCGGCTCTCTCCAGTTCCCTGACAAACACTCACCTCTCGTTCACTTCCAGTTTGACCCCAGTGTCACCAGCCCGTGCCTTGCTCAGCATCTCCTGGTAGGGGGGGAGAGGCTGTGCTGAGCCCTGTGCCCGGTGGCAGGCCTGCACGGTGCCCGTGGTTTCCCCACGCACAGGGTGCCCTCACCTCAATGCGGGCGGACGCCGTCTCGATGGCCGCGGCCGTCGCCGCCATCTCCTTGTCCACCAGGTCACCCAGCTCCTCCTGCTTGACGTCCAGCCCTCTGGGACGCAGCTCCTGGGGACGGGATGGGATGAAAGGGAACGTCCAGGGGTGGCACAGCCCCTCCGGCGGTGCCCACCACAGCCTGACCCCGTCCCACCAGCCCTCCGGGGGCACCCACCTCTGCGATGGTGCTGATCCGGCCCAGGCAGGCTGTCACTGGGCTGCAGTCAGCGCCTGCCACTGTCCCTGGGTCTTGCAGGGCACTGAGGTAGCTCAGGGCCTCGCTGCCACACTGCCTGCACAGCTCCAGCAGACCTGTGTTGGCAGCACAGGGGGTGAGGGGGCTGCACAGGGGGATGGAGGTGTCTGGTCCCTGCCTGCCCTGGCATCCTGCCCATCCTGGTCCTTGCTCACTCCAGGATCTTACTTGTCCCAGCATCCTGCCCACCTGGTCTCCTGGCACCTTCTCACCCCAACATCCTGCCCACCTCTGCCCACCCTGGTTCCGGCCCACCCCAACCCCTGCCTGTTCCAATCCCTGCCCACTCCAGCATCCTGCTCATCTTGGCCCCGTCTGCCCCTGTCCACCACAGCCCCTTCCTGTCCCAGAATTCTTCCCTGCCCACCCCAGCATCCTGCCCACCCCAGCATCCTGCCCACCCCATCCCCTGCCTGCAATGACCCTTGTCCACCCCAGCCCCTGCCCACCTTGGCCCCTACCTGCCCCAGAATTCTACCCAGCCCCTGCCCATCCCAGCATTCTGCCCACCAAATACTCTGCCCGCCCTGATCCCCTACCCACCTTGGCCCCTGGCCCACCCCTGCATCCTGCCCACCCCATGCCCTGCCCGTGGGGCAGCACTCACGGTCAGCGGGCTCCACGGGGGCCACGTGGGAGGTCGCGCTGCCCTGCAGGAGGGTGTCGCTGACCAAGTGGGCGAAGAGGGCCAGGCAGGGCAGCAGGGAGCCCACGGCTGTGGCAGGACAGGGGGCACACACCTCAGCCCCCGCCCAGCCCTGCATGCCAGGGCTGCCCCTGTGCCCTCCCCCTGCCTGGGGCTGCCCCTGTGCCCTCCCCCTGCCCGGGGCTGCCCCTGTGCCCTCCCCCTGCCCGGGGCT